CACAGTTTCCTGCACTACTTATTCAGCGGCACTGCAACACCACTACTAAATCTCAGCACAAAACGGATAGTGTGACCAGTTTAGTTAGACTCCTGAATGTAAGGTGATTCTTTTTAGTGAATCAAAAACATTCAGCGCAACTAGTGGAAGTTGACTCCCAAACAAATATTTTTTTCAAACCAGGGCTTGAATATGAAGCATGGCCATTGTAGTCCGATTCCCAAAATGTAGACTCTTTTGAATCAGTTCTTTTTAGTAAAGCCCAATAAGTGTACTCTGATTCTCGAACAAACTCTTTGAGTCACGTCTTTTAATGAATCAAAAATACACAGCTCAACATCAGTGTAATCGGATTCCTAAAAGAATAACTCCAATGACTCAGTTCTCTTTAGTGAACCGAAAACAGGGCAAATAGAGTACTATGATTCCAGAATGAATGACTCAATGAATCAAGCGCTCAACTAACTATGATCCGTAAAACGGTGTACTGTAGTTGCTGATTGGTTGTTTCAACAGCAATTTGTGGTTAAAAACAAACAACATGTGTTTTATCAGTAATATTTGAAAAAAAACATAGCGACTTGTATGTGACCACGTTGTTTTTTGTTGATTATTATCTCATCATTTGGCAATGGAATTGCATTTCTTTTTTTCCAGATATTTATTCCCTAAAACCACACATAGAATCGTTAAAGGAACCATTAATGATATTTGTTCTTCACAGTTCTCATCCCCACCAAAGAGCCTTTCGTGTTTAACTTCAGAACTCCAGAGATGTTGTGAAATGCACCTACAGCAAGAAGATGCCAGTTCCACTGAGTATCGATTGTCGAGTGTGAGAACATGAGAAAACACAGACTTTCATGATTGTTGTTGGAGATATATTGAGGGCTACAGTAGGACATGGACCAGAATTTATGGACGCTATATTTTAGTAGATGTGAATCACTTCCTTGACTTCATTATGCAATGATACTATGATAAAACTGGTTGTGAACAAGTAAACGGAATGAATCGGAAAAGCTTCTTGGAGGATTTTGACTGGTAGCAGAGCTGGGTTAGATCATCTAGTCATGTTTATATCAGTTGGTTATGGAGGCGCATGCAGTTTATAGAGTGTGGTTACTGAACAGCTATAATCGAAAGTCGAAAATGGAAACGATTACAAACTGTTAACTGGTTTGATATTCAGAGAGCGATATAACAGTTTTTCACAGGCACTACATTTGAATACATCAGGTAAAATGCTGGTTTGCTTTTAGTTCCATTATTCCTTTGATTTCGATACAAGTTCTTAAAAAAAGAGGAAGGCAAAGGTGCAAGTACCAGACTCTGATTAGATTAGCGTGTCGTCAGTGCATAGTTCTCATGCGGATTACACTGCTATGCTATCAGAAAGCAGGGTCGTTTCCAGTTAGCCTCCATTTTATCAGCAAGATTTAGCACCTTGTAACGATACCGTTTAGTGCAGTCAAGCCACCCGCCACTGGTGCATGATGGGGTTAAATCCATGGTATGATGAAGCTGACAACATGTTTATTCATACGATGGGCCCCTGAAGGTCAACCCAGGCCCTTTAAGGTCCTCATCGGGTCCTGTTCTGCAGATCTACCCGCGAAAGTGAAATATGAGTTTGTTTAGCGTAACGAAAAATGTGTACCTGTAGTCAAATCTGTAGTTCTCCATTGCAGTGAATGGACGTATACTTGATTCACTTATTGTCTTTTTGGTTTTTTAAGACTTTAAAATGTCTCACGATTAAATTTTACCCTGATACAAGCCGTATTTCTGCCTTAAACCATCCAATGCTTTGTTCCCGTCTCAAATTAATATAAGCGATATAACAAGAAGGCACACAAAAATGGGGATGTAAAAATGATAAAGGTCTGCGGGACCTTTATTCAACCCTGTTTCAGGACTAGCATGAAATTGATGTTATTCTTCAAGGGAAAATATTTAAGGGATAGTTCACCCAAAAATGAAAATTCGGTCATCATTTATGAACCGTTGACGGTAGCCATTGACTTCCATAGTATTTTTTTTCCTCTATACTATGGAAGTCAATGGCTACCGTCAACATTTTTTACCATCTACAGAAGAAACAAACTCATACATGTTTGGAACAACTTGAGGGTAAATGATGACAATGTTCATTTTTTGGGTGAACTCTTCCTTTAAAATATCACTAAAAGGGTCTGTAGAATGTTTGTTAAGATAAAAAAAAAAAAAGGCAAAAAATTATTTGTAATTTTTATGTAATCTGTGTGAAAAAAAACAAGACAGCGTAACCTAAACCAAACCGAAAAGTGACAAAATGGGAAATTTGACTTCTTTTTTGTAAAACATGAAATTGCAGGACTCAAAATGTCCTTATGTTTGAACATCGTCCATTTATCCTCAACAAAAGAGTCAAAGTTCTTCCTTTTTTTGTGTAATTGTATGTCTTTTCAGTCTTTTAAACCACCATCAAGCGATCTTCGTGTGAGTTATGGGACCTGAGGGCCTTGCTTTTACATGAAATGTAGAATTGAGTAAGGAATGGCTTTATCGACGGCCCATCGCGACTGACCTTCTCGTCATTTAACGTCGCTTGAGTGTCTTTGTGTGTGCTGGTGGGCGGTGGAAGAAAGATGAAGAAGTTGAAAAGAAAAAAGAATCATGTTGCATATCAAGCGGTTTATTTTCCTGCATGGAATGGGGAACACAAAAAGATGCCTAGATGCATTTATAATAGGGGCATCCTTTGGCTGTCTATGTCATTGTCTTCTGCCTAAAACTAATTTTAAAATGCATAAAAACGCTCTCTTCTTACCAACATCCTCAGAATTATCTAGATTTAGCTTCATCAACACTGATGCAACAAATAACCTTCAAAACATACAGCATACTTGTAACATCCATTTACAATGGGGTTTTCACCTCAGCATCCTACACTTTTCAAGTATAGGAATACTTCTATACCATCGAAAGAAGAAATAAGTCCTTAAATACATACAAAAAGGAAAGCAAAAAGCAAAAAAAAAAGGGAAACAGGAAGTTTTCAACTTAAATCCAGTTCCCCAGAGGACAAACAAAACCAGTTCTATTTTTGTGGCCTTAATACAAACAATCAGAAAATTCACAACACTAGTTTTTCCTCATTTAATCAATGTTACAAAAGTCCTGCATTATAAAATAGGGCAGCTTTAAAATCAGTGTAATTAATAAAACTATACAATATACAAACATCAAATCTCCCTTACGGTGCGTCCGCCCTAACTCTCGTATCTAATCGATTCGGTTTGTTCGCTTCTCCCACGTCTTCTCCAATGTTGTACCAAAAAACTAAATTACACACACAACACGAGAACAAAACAGACTGCCCAAACTATTGCTTGAAATTCTTTTTCTCTTTTTTTTCTTTCTTTAAAAAGGGTGCAATTTTGTCATTATCTTACACACACAGCCAATCTCGCTGATTAAATGCCAGGCTGCTCTAAACAAGGTTTCTGTGACAAAAAATATCCGTGCAATCGTGTTTCCCTTCGCTCTTTTAAGCCCTGGAAGCTTTTTTTTCTGTATTTTTTTCTCAATTATCACAATTGTCATTATTTTATATTTAGTGCAGACAATTAAGAAAGTAATGCCCAACTCATTTCTAAAGGGTAGGCAAGAACAATGACAAAAAAATAAAAAACACACACACACACACACACACACACACACACAAGTGTAACTACTAAACCATCACATCATATGCCTGGGAAATTCGTCCCCATTATTTTTTTTCCCTTATATGATATATGCAATAGAAAATAAACCGGTAAACAATTAATATAACATGGAACTTTGTCAAAATGTACAAAAACTGGGCATATATTTTGTCCTGGACGTGTTCGCTCTTGCGTGTTTATGATGGAAAGGAAGTTTCCTCGTTTTTAAGGCTTGATTATGACCCAAAAAAACACAAAGTATGCGGAAAAATTGATGACTGGTTGTGTGAAACCCAAGTGAAGCTGATCAATGGCGTTTTCTCGTGTCATGTGCATGAAAAACACAATGACGTTCAGCCACTTGATCTGTCAAGTGCTCACTGGTTGTAAAAAATATATAAAAGAAAAAGAAAAAAAAAGTGTACATGAGTGCAAGCAAGTATTGCATATTAATCTCATTATTATCATTATTCATCTCTGGGAACGAAAAAAAAAGGAAGACTGAAAAGAAAAAGTAGTCGTCATTTAGAAATTGCAGCAACATCCATAAATATCCATACACTACTGTTAAATCAGTGAAAAAGGGCTTGATGACATAAAAACCTTCATATTATGCTTTTTCTTGGGCGAATGATTGACTTTCGACTGACTGAAGTGTAAACCATGGGGTTTTCGAAGCAACGGATAACCGAAAGTGGCGATATGTAGTTAAATGGAGAGTAATACTGTGTATTATCAATTAGCACTAATTTCACTCTCTCCAAATTGACTACATGTGGAAGGTGGGGTGAAAAGGTAAAACAAATAGTCTCCACATTACACAATAACTCAGAACTAGACCATCGCTCAAGGCACATCGATGTGGAATTGTTCGTGCAGTTTGAAAGGGACGATGAAGTGTGTACATATGAAAATGATTGTTCTGACGGGAATAAAGGAGGAAGGGAGACTTTATAGAAATGACGACAAGCTAAGAAGAGTCAGAGAGATGTTTAGCTGGTTGATTGTGAGAACAGCAGTAAAAATACCCTTTTTTTAAAGGACCAAACAAATACTTGATCGGCAAGTGCCCGATGTTGGGATTACAATGTTTTTCACACTACTTTAACTCTACGTAATCTATGTAAAAATTTGTCACTAACACTAGAACATGCAGATTACTTTCTTACATTTTTTGAAAAACTTTACTGAGCTTTGATCGACGGTGGATGAGGCTGTAAGTGTATATATTTATATATATATATATGTTTCGTACAGGAAACGAACAAAAACTCAAAAAACAACAAAAATTACATGCGAGGGAAGCTGGATCTTCACATTTTTGCACGACGCTTTCGAAAGTGTCCGCGAGGAAGTTAGTTCAGTATTTCGCCTCTTGCGTTCGCATTTAAACAGTCGATTTTTTCATTCATGATTTCGCAAACGGCTAATTTTCTTACGTATTTCATTATGTGCTCAGTTAAATTAAAATATTTGCTGTAGCATTTTGGAAATGAACTAAATTGATTGTTTAAACGTTGATATTTCTTAAAGGGATATTTGTTCTACAATTCTAACAAAAGATGAACAAACAAACACATAAAAAACAACAACAGAAAAATCAATTACAGCTCCCCTTATTTCTCACAAGGCTATTTGTTCTATTTTCCTCTTTACGTGTTTTTTTTTCTTTTTTGTACACCGATATTTTAGAGTCCTGGAGGTGTGAACGGACTAGGAAGAAAAATATATATATTTATATATATACTTTTCAACAATCGCTTCAACGATCTATCTTACAAAGATATTTAACAATCCAACATCTACCCAACAAAATTGCACTTTCCTCAATTCAGTATTCACGGTTAACCTTTTCTTGCAGTTTATGGAAGATCGAACCTTCACTTGGCCCTTGGTGTGTGAAAGACCTTCCGCTGGGGTTTAGGAAGATTAGAAAGAATCGCGATGAATTTTGTACGAAAAACACAAAATATGAACATGCCTCCAAGTGGGGAGATCTCCCGTTAGCATACTGTAAAATGACCTGATTTCAAACATCACCGTTCATGACTTCATCGCCTGCCCCAAAATGACACAAAACAACTGAAAAAATGGGTTTGGTTGAGTCCTTGAAAGTTCTTGATCTGACATGGTTTTGATGGTGGTGGTGATGATGGTGGAAAGGGGAGGAAATGGTCCTGGCCAGCAGACGCAATAGAGATTTTTAGCTGGTGGCATATCTGACCCAGGCGAAACCTCCAACGTTCACCGATACAAAAACCGTATTGATCCGTCAAAACACGAGTGATTGAAAGGCAGAGCTCCGACCTCCGGGTGGTTGTGGGTTTGCGACCCTTGGCCGTAGACTGCGTTGGAAACGCCTTAGAATTCACTTTAAGACCACAGGCACAGAAGCGGGAAGCTCTTTGATTGCGTCATGTTACGTTTTCCTCGTCTATCTGTGAGGGTGAACCAAAAACACAACAAAAACAAACAAAAGAAGAAAAAAAACGTGCACGTTTCCGAGAAAAGAAAGCTCTTCTTTTTTTTTTTTCGAGCTCCACCCTCAGAAGAGCTGGACAGCTACTATATATGAATATAGGCATGTAAACCATACATATGGAAGAATACATATGGACTATATAGATATATAGTAAGTGGGTGTAAGCGCGTTGAGTCGGTTCCTCTTGTTCCAGGGCTTGGCGGGGTTCTGCTGGAGCCATGCTGTGGGTCTGTCCGGTACTGGGGCAGCAAGTGGCTTCTCTCTGTTCAGACTGGTGTACATGTTTGCGGGTCGTACTCAGGGGAGACAGAGGGGGTGGTCGTGTGACCTCGGGAGCGGCCGGTCCGTGTCGGGAGTCTTTAGCCCAGGTACCACTGCAATGAGACAGAGAGGAACAGATTGGTGAGGTTTGGTTTGCAACTTCAATGATTTAATTTAGTTAATTTTGGGCATCAATCTGACTTTTGAAAATCATTATAATTTTAAATTTTATTACACTACTGTTCAAAAGTTTGGTGTCAGATTTAGTTTTTTTTAACCCTTTAACTGATAACTCTGCTGTATGGTTGAGCTTCATTTGATTGGGAATAAATCTATCAAAAGGAAGAGATGAGAGAGCAATCTTTCCATAGCTGTACTGCCCCATCTCTGTGTCTGCTGTCGCCATGGGGGGTTGGGAATTTCCAGTTTTCAAGAGACAGCAGCAGTTTACAAACTTCAGTCAGTCACACAGAAGGGAGAATGGTGCTGGTCAGTCATCAGATAATAGGGTCAAACAAGCAATCAAGGAAGTAGGGATGAAACCATAATGTTGTTGTGAATAGGGTAGCGGGTAAAGAACAGAAATATAGCAAAATATATGAGAAATGCAAAAATGTTTATTTACCATAATTATCCAAAATCATGCGTGACCGTACGGTTGATATGTCTGTAAAGGACATCATATAACATATATATTGCTATATGTCTATATATATATTATAGAGACACTTAAATATAATTATTTATCTTTGTGGACCCTAAAGGTTATGAAATGTATCCAAGATACTAATAAAGTTAAAGGAATGTTTATTATTGGAAAATAACTAATAGAAATAGTTCTCTGAATTTAAATCAAGATTTACCATGGACTGACAGCTCAACCGTACGGTAGAGTTTTATATAAAACATAAATTTAAAAAAAAAAGTGCTTGGGGCTATTTATTAGATGTCTACTAATAAGAATTTTACTATATGTCTATATATATATATTATAGAGACACTTAAATATAATTATTTATCTTTGTGGACCCTAAAGGTTATGAAATGTATCCAAGATACTAATAAAGTTAAAGGAATGTTTATTATTGGAAAATAACTAATAGAAATAGTTCTCTGAATTTAAATCAAGATTTACCATGGACTGACAGCTCAACCGTACGGTAGAGTTTTATATAAAACATAAAAAAAAAAAAAAAAGTGCTTGGGGCTATTTATTAGATGTCTACTAATAAGAATTTTAAGTTAAATAATTTTTTTTCAGCAAGGATGCATTAAATTGATAAAAAGTGGCAGTAAAAAGATTTCTATTTCAAATAAATGCTTCTTTTTTACCTTTCTGTTTTTTTTAAGAAACCTATAAATGTATTCCATAAAAATATGAAGCAGCACAACTGTTTTCATCATTGATAATAAAAATAAATGTTTCTTGAGATCTGCATATTAGAATGAGTTCTGAAGGATCATGTGACACTGAAGACTGGAGTCATGATGCTGAAAATGTATCACAGGAATAAATTACATTTTAAAATATCGTAGAAAACAGTTACTTTAAATTGCCATAATATTTCCTAAAATTGCTGTTTTTACTGTATATTTAATCAAATGCAGACTTGCTCAGCATAAGAGACTTCTTTCAAAAACATTAAAATCGTATTGACCCCGACCCCAAGTCTGCTTTATCATTCTAATTAAAATACAAAAAAACATTGTATTATATTTTTACTTAAAATATCTCTAAAAATGTTTTTAAATCCCATTTAAAATAAATGTATAATATATTAATTACATTTTAATATATTAAATATAAATGTATTTTATTATTTATTTCATCATTTAATCATTGTATAATTTTCTCATTTTTATTTATTAAAGTTCATTTGTGATATAATTGCAATATGTAAAGCTATAACAAAACTTACTTTTTACCTTAATTAATACAGGTTCCTGATGTTATTGTGCAAGACTCATCAGTGCATGTTAATTAAAAAATAACTGTTTTATCATCAAAATTTATTTCCAACTACCTGTCATAAAAAGACCACTTTCATGATTCAATCACTTCTCAAAGGATAAAATCAGGTCTTGTCCTGCATTTCTTTTCTAGCTGAATATACACATTCAAAACTATTCCACACTGCAAAGAAAAAAGTGTCTGCAGTTTCATGTCAACTTAGACCCCCGATCCTTTTGTTTTTACCTTCCTTGGAAGGTTTAAGACTTGTTATAACTCCCAGACCTATAATTCATTCAGTATCTGTATTATAATGGAAAAAAGAAAAGCATAAACTGCTTGTTGTTTTCTTATCGGATCACTTGACTCTAAGACGGTGCTTGACTCTGTGAGGGCTCAGCTCAACAACATTGTCTCTTTTCCTGTTCCTGTCCATCTGTTCCCTGTCTCTGAATGCCTTTACAGCGCTTTCCGCCACACAGAGCACACGGCTGTCTGTGGACTGGAGTGGTGAGGTTAGCGCGCTGCACCCCTGTAATCCTTCAGTGAAATAGGCTTATTGATTGCTGTGCTCCATTGTTCACGTTTCCAGCAAGTGAGCAAGTGTCGTTCGGTTCTCGCCCACTTTTTTCACTCCGTTCTCCCCTCCCCTTTCCAACTTCCCTCCTCCCACCAAGTTCAAGTTCATCCTGGAGTTACATCATGTCTGGTTGCCAGGGACAACCAGACAGTCGTATACGTGACTATCATTAGCAAGGCCCTTATCCCTCTTTCTTTCTCTCCCTCTCTTATCACTCTTTCCCTGCTCCCTTTCTTGCTATTCTCTTTCTGGCTGGCGTTCTGTCCGAGCGAAGCGATCCACCCCATCCCATCCAGCCCCGGCTGCAAATACACACGCTATTGATTCAAAGTGTTCAGTGATTCGCTCTCTCCTCCCACAGCTCAGCTCATCATGCGTGCATGCTGTCCACCAATCAGCAGCCGTGATTAATTAAGCCCACTGAGTTTTCAGCCAATCAGAATAAAGCGCTGAAGGACTGCCTTCTAATTACAAAACAAGGCTGCACACCAGAGTCACAATTTATTATTTTCTGTCATTATTGCACACTTTATATAACTAATTGCAAAGTTTTATTCAATTAAGATCGGTCTCCTCCCAGACCGTGTGTATAATACATTAATGCACTATATAGACGGACAGTATATAAAGTGCATATTTTGTTATATAAAAAGGTATATGTAAATATAATTTAATCATTTTATTTAATGCATTTTGAATGTTTTAATGTGTTTTACATGCACACTTATATCTGTTACATAATAACTTATAACATATACATGACACATTGCACTAAAAGTATATGTGAATATTATTTATTTTCAATAATTATACGCATTTTTAATATTTTAATGTATTATATAAACACTTCATAAAAAGTGCATTTTTTATTTTTGTTATATCACACATACAATATGATGCCTTACACTAAAGTAATATGTGAATACTATTAAATTATTTTAAATAATTATATGCATTTTGAATATTTTGTCCATTTCTGATGTCGCCAATAATTAGAGATGCACTGAAATTCCGGCTGCCGAAAATTAGTTCACCGCTCAGGATTTACTTTCACGTGGTGTGAAGCTCTGCGTATTATCCCGCTCTATGTGTGTGCGCTCCGCTCAGTCGCTCACGGCCCATGTGAGTGCTCCACTCATATACCGTTCATGCTCATCGGCACAGCAAAGTCCACTCAAAAATCGAGCTGACAGGCAACATCTATATAGTACAGTATTGTTTCTGTTTGCAATAGCCCTACTGTGCTGTAACAAGGTGTGGTAAATGGGCAACTCTGTCCTCTCATTCATTGATCTGCTAACCGTTATGCTAACGTGCCCTCTGATAATAATAGCTTTCTAGGATTAAACATTATTTGGATAACTGGTATAAATAAAAATATATCTTTATAGCCCTACTGTGTGTTAGACCTACCTGAAAACCTAAAAAGCTATTTATTTCATTTGTAGGCCTATCGTTATTTTTTATTTGTGCTATCATTAGTAATTTCTTTATTTGTTCTTATTTTATTATTAACTGCTTAGCCTCCTTGTCATTTTTTATTCAATTCAAAGTTTTAAATCAAGCCATCTCGTGCTACTGCAACAAAATTACCCAACTGTAAAATCAAAAATACACTGAG